GGATGCTCCACGCAGCCTTGAATAAACTAGCCATGAGTCACCCAGAATGGAGAGGGCACCGTGATGGAGAGGTGTCAGCCAACTTATCCTTGCAGAGACAAACACAACCTCATCCGAGTCTTCTGGTATTTAAAATCCAGCCTTAATGTGTAAGCTGAAAGAAAGGGGGCGGGGGCTCATCTGATCTGGTATGTGGGAAATAAATGGGGGTGAAAGCACAGATTAAGATAAATTTCTCAAGTCAAAATCCAAGTATGGTCCTACTTAGATCAGAATTGTGAACACAGAAATATTCCTTCACCAAATGCAGAAAATTAATTGCTAGAAGTGCTGGGTGGTAAACAAGAAATCCAATGTCCAAAGATGTCTCAATAATAAGAGAATTAAGAAAAGGAGCATTTCCCTAATATGCCAACCAGCAGCACCAGGGAAGCAAAGATAAGAACATCATCAGATCCTCATGCTCCAATGCTTACTGACCCTCCCGAGCCTCAGCGGCCATATCTATAAAATGGGGAGACTCCATCTCTGGGTGTCACTATGAATTAGTAAACGGGACTCTGCTAACTCACCATGAAGTCAAAGAGAAATAAATGTCCTTGCTTCCTCTAGGTTAAGAGTTAACATTGAGCAGGAAAAAATGCAAATAATCTATATTAATGGGGACCATTTAAGTGCAATTTAACTGCATCTTGTCTTACTTACTTTAGCTTTGTGGGAGCGGAGAAACAAAAATTCTTGAATTGTGAGACCAAACCACTGTTTTTCTTGGATGCTACTCCCCTTCTCCAAATTTTCACAGCCACAGCAGGCAAACACAATTAATGCTTTCATTTTATTAAATCAAATTACAGGTTAATATAAAACAAAACAGACTAATTTATTTGCCTTTCCTAACCTTCAGTCTTAAATATTTCAAGTTCACTTTTTCTTGAATTATTTGTTCAAGGAAACTGTATAAGGTTTCCTGACTTGTAGTCAGCTTTCCCATATGCTAGAAACAAGAACATTTCCACCGAAAAGGGGAAGAGAATGAGTAATGACTTTTCCAACACTGACCAGTGTGGTAGGCTGAACGGCGGCCTTCCAAAGAAGCCCGCATTCCTAATATCTGGAACCTGTGACTATGCTTCTCTACATGGCAACGGGCACTTCCAGATGGGATTTAAGGATTCTGAGATGGAGAGGTTATTCTGGATTACTCAGCTGGGCCCAACGTAACCACAAGGGTCCTTGTAAGAGATAAACAAGAGAGGAAGAATGAGAGGAGGAGATGAGATGAACAGAGGCTGGAGTGATGCCACTTCTGGAAAGAGGCCAATGAACCAAGGAACTCGGAAAGCCTCCAGAAGCTGGAAAAGGCGAGAAGGGAACACATTCCGCTGACACCTTATTTTAGCCTAGAGGACCAATTTTCAGACTTCTGACCTCCTGTAAGGCAAGATAATAAATTTGCATTGTTTTAAGTCACTAAGTTTGGGATATTTAACTTTGAGAACTCAATTACTCAGCACCCTGTTCTTTTTTGGAAGACTAAGCAAGATAATGAGTTTGTGGGCTCAGGAGAAGAACCCTTCTCAGAGAGGGGGCTTTCCAGAGCTGCCAAGAAGAAAACTTGGGAATAGAATCACAGTCTTAAATTCACTCATAAGCTTAAGCGTAGTCAGGTTAAGCAGCAGCTTCAGAACCAATTCAGAAACCGAGTCACCTACAAGACTCAACTCAAACAAAGCAACTAAAAGCCTAGTCTTTGGAATTAGATAGTTCCAAACTATACTTCTTCCTCATATGGGTGCATAACTGGGGGTATTACTTTATATCTCTAAAGTTCAATTTTCTCATCCTAAAACATGAATATAACAACATTTACCTTATACCTCAGAGGGTTGCGAGATTAGATAAAATAAAGTATGAAAAGGGATTAACACACAAGCTAATGAATGCAAGCTTAATAAATGGTAACTTCATAGTTAATTTTTATTCTTTGAATTCTCCATGTTGTGCTGCTTCACTGTGCTCCCAGAGCAGCCAGGGCACATGTCTGCCTTCGTTGCTCTCTGTCAGAATTACAGACAATGAGGAAGTAAGACCCCCAAAGGCAGAACCCAGTCTCATTCATAGTTTTACCCTTAGCATTTAGCACAGTGCCTGATCTGTATGGGGCGCTCACATTTTAAATCATGAACTTATCTTAGCTGGGAGTTCGGAGTATATGAGACATCAGTGATGATATATGATTAGAGGATTTTTCCATGTGTGACACACTAGGTGGTAAAATACATTTAGTGAGTCATACCAGCATTTTTTTTTAAAGAAAAATAATAGGGTAGAAAAGATCAGAGTACAAAACATGGAGTAAGGGTAAGTACTGTTACATGAAACTTTTGTTTCAGTGACATATGGGAGTGTAATGTAACTTGGTTGGGATGTAAACACATTTCTTCTTGTGGGTAGGGATGAAGAAGAAAGTGTGAGCCTTCTGACTGTTTCACCTCGCCAACATTTGGTATTTTCTGTCTTTTCCATTCCAGTTTTTCTGATAAGTATACAGTGGTATGGCGTGCAGTGGTATGTATACTGTGGTCCTAATCTGCATGTCCTTGATGACTAGTGATGTGGATGGAGTCTCTATCCTCTTGAAATCCTCTCTGTAAGCACTTTAGAAAACGACTTGGCAGTATGTATGAGCGTTGAGCGTGCATTTCCTATTACCCAGCAATTCTACTTCTATGTACGTACCCAACAGAAATGTGTATACACGTTCACGAGAAAACAAGTAGAGAAAGGTTCACAGCAGCACTATTCTTAACAGCCTCAAACTAGAAATTGCCCAAAAGTGCATTAACAATAAATAAATTTGAGATATTTACACACAATAGAATCGTACATATTAGCAAAAATGAACTACTACCACTATATATAACAATGTCTAAAAATCCCACAAGGGTAAGATTGAATGAAAGAAGCCAGATACGAAAGAGTACACGGTGGATAATTTCAGTTACATAAAGTTCAAAATCAGGCAAAATGAATCTATGGTGTTAAAAATTAGGATGATGGCTAGTCTTCAGGTTCTGAGGGCTTCAGGGGTGCTGGTAATGTTTTCTTTTTTGATCTGAGTGCCCGTTACATAGGTATACTCAATTTGTGCAATCAGCTGGACTATACTAGTAAACATATGATTTGTGATTTTTCTAAATTATTTCTGAAATTGTTACATCTAAATATAAAGTTCAAAAAAGTCAATAATACCTTTTTTAAGTATGAAAAGCACATAGAGAGCAAGAACCCCCATACACTCCCTCTCATTATTATCAAGTGGTCATCAAGCCTTCGCTTGAATCACTCCTGGGTCAGGAACCTATTTATTGCCCAGGTCACTTGTTAGAAAGCTTTTCCCTTATACTCAGCCATAACGTGCCTCCCCACAACTTGCTTCATCAGTCGTCTGTCCTCCTAACAGATTCCAAATAGATCTACTCCATCTACAGCAGCTACTCTTCAAATAGTTGAGTAATCCCCATAATTAACTGGTATCCGCATAATTAACCGGTATCCGCATAATTAACCGGTTAATGATTAATCTGCATTTAATAATTAATCGCTAGCACTTTTCTTCCAAATAAAGTAATGAATTAAAACTTCCCGCAAATGCTCTTTTTTTTGGCCGAAATTCGACATTTTTAAGCGTAAAAATATCTATGATGTTAAAACCTTCAGAAAATTTGACATATGAAGTTTTGAAGCTTGTTGTCAATACAACAAAATAGCATACATCTCAAAACGCATATATATCAACATATGTGGAACCCCATCTATTGAAAAAAATCCGCATCATTAACCTAGTAACCCCCTCCCCAGTCTTCAGTTCTCTGGACTAAGGAGCCCCAGGTCCTCCTGTCACCCCTCAAGGCCTGTTTCTCAGTCCTCCTTGCCTCTTGATTGCATTCCTTTTATCTAGTGATGCCCCCTAGGAGAGTGGAGTCCCCTAGGAGAGGCCTGAGAAGAGCAGAAAAGAGTAGAAAGTAGAATCATCACCTGCAAATCTAGTGAATTTACCAGCATACCCTAAACTTCCATTTGCCCTTTCTTTAAAATGCACATTATACAGTTCACTCCTGTGGAACAATCGGCTAAAATCCCCCACATCTTTTTCACAAGTACGTTTACTTTCTGCGTCTGTCAGGCCTCAGAGCCCTCTAGGATTCCCAGCACTCTTTGGCCCCACTCCAGTTCCCCAAGCGAGGTCTTGGAGGTGGGGGAACATCTGTTATGGAAACACCTCTGAACAGTCTCTCCATCTGCCCTTCTACTGAAAAACAAAAATGAAGTCTTCATCTCAACCCATCATCTCTTCCCCGTGAGTGAGCTCCACTTTACAGTATCTTTGGGGGAAGGAAGGGAGGATGGAGAAGACACAATTTCACCAGCATCTCCAAAATATGACCTAGAACGAAAAGCAGCTATCGCCCTGCCCTTCACGAGGTCTGAGCGATGAAGGGCACTCTGGTCTCCCTCTTTTCCTCTCTCAAACTCAGTTCCAACGGGACCCTGGAGATGAGCCCGGCTGGCCTGCTCACTCAGCCCTTTGCTTTGTGTAGGTGGAGAGTGAAGTCTGGAAGGAAGACGTGGCAGGGGGAGAAGGAAATCTGATCTTTTCCAAGGTGTCTGAAATCAAAGGTATCCCTAAAGAAAGGCCTGCGGGAATCCCTCTCATCTGTGGAACAAGGAAAAGACGGAGAAACGTTTCTCCAAAAACTCCCAGGCAGCCTCATGGGTATTTTTAACATCGAGACGAGGTTAGGGGCCAGATTTTTTTTTAGGCAACGAAACACCAGAGACGCGAACACGTGCAGGGGGATCAAGAGAAATGGGCATTACGGAGGGCAAGACAACAAAAAAGAGACCCCTAGAGGTAAAGGCGCGGGGAGCGGGGTGGAGGTGGTGGGAACACAAAATCAGGGATGCGGGATGCGGCGCGGAAGCAGCAGTCACCCTACCTTGTCCACGGCTGCTCCATTTTCCAGGCGCCGTGCTTGCTCCCAGGCGCCCCTCAGCCGGGAGAGGAAGCAGCCCGGGAGAAGGCGAAGCCTTGCCCACGAATCTCCAGTGCAAAGAGCAGCAGCCTTGCCCTCCCCAGCTCCCTCCTTCTGTGTCCGCAAAGGGAGAGCGCTCTCTGCTCCTGCTTTTGTAGAAAACCCGACTTGACGTGGCCAAACCTCCAGCTAACGGTGCACCGGGCACAAGGGAGGGACTGTTCTCAGTAGGAAGCTGGACGCGGAGCCCAGCCGAGCGGCGCCCGGAGCTGGTTGGGGAGCTGGGGCCAGAGGCAGCGCAGGCTGGGACGCGACTGGCTGGCACGAGCGGCTCCGGCTCCAGCTGAGCTGTCAACCGCGAGGGGAGGCGGGGCTCTGGCCGCCGGAGTCAGGAGCTGAGCGGGTTACCCGCCGCCTAGACACACCCTCCGGCCCTCCCTGCCTTGGTGATGTTGGCAAAGGGACAGGAAAGGGACGCCACACCAAGCCCTCTGTGCCTGCCCACCCCGCCGACAGGCTTTGGAAAAAGCCAACCAACGGCTGGGTGAATTTAGAGAGGAGGTCCTCTCTGGTGCCTGCATCACCCTACCCGCAGGTAACCCCGGAGCCAGAGCTGGAGTGCAGGAGGGTTTTAGGCGCAATCCTGGCTGCATGCGGATGCACATGCCACATGGTCATAGGACGCCAGGTTATTTTCTCAGAGATCTGACATGTCGGTCTCACCAGTAAGTAATTAGGGGTTCTTAGAGATCTGACATGCCGGTCTCACCATTCATTTGGAGACTGGAACCTCGCTCGGGAAGGGAAGCATCCTAAGGAAACATTGCAGCCTTAGCAGCTGTCTCCATCTCAGACATCCCTGGTTTTGTGGCATTTCTATCTCTCTGGGTGTCAGTTCCCCAAGCATGGAGGCAGCTGGGCTCTCCCACTCGCTGCAGGAGGGCGGGGTGCTCCCCAACTCCCCCAGAAAAGCTCCAAACACTGGCCATCAGGACGTAGAAGCTGCCTTATAACTGCTCTAAGACCATGGAACAGGGTCCTTTGGAGATGGCACTGCCGGAGACCATGTACCATCTATTTCTGTGAACGAGGTTTAGACAAGTCAGGCATGCTATAATTAAAGTGCTTACAGCCCCGGAGCTCCTTTTCAGCTCTAAAATAAACCCATTCTATTAAGTGACATAACCACCATTATTAATAGCACTACCACTGACCTTTTTTTTTAATTTGCAGAAAGCTTCATAGTGCCCATGAGTAGCAATGCTGATTTAGTGGCCCTTGTGGCACAGATAATAAATGTGAGACCCAAAAAGGCTGAGAGGCTCTGCGAAGGCTCTGATCCAGGTTGTTTCCTACACAGAGTGGCCCCAGATACATGCTTTCTGAAGATCAAACGGATGAGGCTTCTCTGGAATTAATTGACTTCGCTCAGGCAGCCCAAGAGTTAAACTCAGGAAGGACCCCAGCATGCCTGAGTATGCGTGGTATTATAGGGAGCTTGGATTCTTGCTTCCCACCTCTTGGGTTAGTTCTCCTAATTGTCAGTAAAGAATGGGGGCCGGGAGGGTTGGATAACATTAAAACATTTGAGGAACAGTCTAAAAAGCCCCTAGTCTAGAATCCCCCAACCTTAACACTTAGCTTCGACCTAAGGCCATGGAGCTCTTGAACTCAGAATATTTCCAGGAAACATTTAAAAACGTTTAATGAGACAAGGCTCACAGGCCACCTGTCTTGAAAAGAATCTACTGCTGCCTCTTTAGGGGGGCGGGAGGAGGAGAGGGCCAGGAAAGTCAGATTTCCGACCTCCTTCCCAAAGTTGGTGCTATATTTAGTTTTGTCTCAAATCAAATTATGGGCTACTGAGTTTGGAGAGGAACTCTGTCTATAGCCAGACATGTGCTGCATTTAAGAAATGACACATTAACTAGATAAAGTGTGGGTCTCAGAAATGAAGCTGGAAAATATACTCATTTGCTTTTAAAATTACTTCTTTTCCAGAGTTCATAATATATTCATTGTAAAATATTTGAAAAATACAGAAAAGTATGTAGAAGGTAAATTACCCTTAATCCCAGAGGTAATCAATGTTAAAATTTAATTTCTTTCCAGTCTTTTAAAAAATGTACCTTCTAACCTAAACAATGACTCTTACACACACGAGTATATTCTTGAGAAATTTCTTTGTTTTAAAAATTACATTTATTGTCAAAAAAGAAACTTTTTGTATTATATTCTGAAATAAAACTATTTATCTATATATGTAATCCGCCAGCACAACTGTTTAAATGTCTCCATATTCCCTCTAGTATATATATTATTACATATCTATTTGTAGTTAAAATTACAACTTAAATATAAATTTATGTCTTCCTTTTTTCACTTATTAAATATTTGTCCAAAGAGGACATGCATATGGCCAATAGATATATAAAACAATGCTCAATGTTACTAATCATCAGAGAGATAGAAATTAAAACCACAATGAGATATCACTTCACACCTGTAGGAATGGTTATTATCAATAAGTCAACAAACAAATGTTGGTGATTATATGGAGAAAAGAGAACCCTCTTGCACTGTTAGTGAGATTGCAAACTGCTGTAGCCACTATGGAAAACAGTATGGAGTTTCCTCAGAAAATTAAAAGTAGCGCTACCTTATGACCCAGCAAGTCCACTTCTGGGTATATATCCGAAGAAATCCAAAACACCAATTCAAAAAGATATATGCACCCCTATGTTCACTGCAGCGTTACTTACAATGGCCAAGATATGGAAGCATTCCAAGTGCCCATCAACAGATTAGTGGATAAAGAAAAGGTGGTACATGTATACAATGGAATATTACTTGGCCATTAAAAAAGAATGAAATCTAACCATTTGCAGACAATATGGATGGATCTAGAGGGCATTATGCTAAGTTAAATAAGTCAGCAAAGAAAGACAAATACCATATGATTTCACTTACATGTGGATTCTAAGAGAACAAAACAAACAACAAACAAACAAAACAGAAACACGCTGATAGATACAAAGAACAAACTGACGGTTGCCAGATAGAAGGAGGGCTGGGGTGGGGGGGGGGGGAAAAAGGTGAAGAGATTAAGAAGTACAAAATAATCACGGTGATATAAAGTACAACATAGGGAATACAGTCAATAATATTGTAATAACTATGCATGGTGTCACATAAGTACTAGAATTATGTTTTAAATTATATAATTTTCTAACCACTATGCTGTACATCTGAAATTAATAAAATAATATTGAATGTCAACTGTAATTGAAAAATAAAATAAAGGATGTAGACATTCAGTATAATGCTGTAAATGTATTTTTCTCTTTCCTATCATTTTCTTAAAACTTTTTTTTCTAGCTTAGTTTATGGCAAGTATACAGTATATCACACATATATCCTACAAAATGTGTTAATTGACTATGGTATTAGTAAGACTTCCAGTCAACAGTAGGCTATTAATAGTTAAGTTTTGAGGGAGTCAAAAGTTATACATGGATTTTTGAGTGAGTGTTGACAGTCCCAATCCCCATGTTGTTCAAGGGTCAAATGTAGTTTCAGAGCAAAAATCAAATCTGAGATAGAATGATGATTAAGAACTCAAAAAGATTGAAGCTAGTGCCTCATCTATAATTGCAGTTAAACTAAAAGGCCTGTAAGCTCAGTTGGCTGGAGAGCTGTCCCATACATCAAAAGGTTGCAGGCTAGATTCCCATTGGATCCCCAGTCAAGGTGAGGGTGGGAGACAGCTGATCAATTCAATGTTTCTCACAACGATCTCTCTCTCTCTCTCTCAAATCAGCAAACATCTTCCAGTGAGGATTAAAAATAATAAAATAAAATAAAATAAAATAAAATAAAAGGCCTGTAAGACTCTTAAGTGTGTGCCTCTCCAGTAGACAAAAGAGCTAAGAGTTTTCAGGACCCATTATCCTCCAGCAGCCTCATAGACAGCCAGAGGTAGAGAAGAGTGTGCTTCAGGACTAAGTGTGGGTGTGACTTTTGTCTAGAGAAGTAGACTATAAATTTGCACAAAAGATGCCCTCAAATTTTTAAAGTGAATTGTACCAGCATGGACTGAAAGGGATTAGACAGTACGGAATGAAAAAATGCCTTTGCACCCATCAACCTGCTGCTGAGAGGAAGCAGGCTGGGAAAGTTGCCTGACTACAAACAAGTACCATTTCTTAATGGGGGGGGGGGGGGGGGGGGCGGCGGGAGAATGACTCAAAGAATGGGACCAGGAGCCCAAGGGCAAGACCAAGATATCTTCAGATCTAGAGGAACCATACTTCAGGAGCTGTACCCCAGCAGCTTCATCTCCACCTGAACTTGATTTAGATGGTGAGATTCTGAGCTGATGAAGTAAATGTTATGAAATGTGGGAGCTTGGGGAGGGAGTAAATAATGCATGTGTGGTAATGTTTATGGCCAAAAGCTGGAGGAATGTGGTAGATTAGAGATGGTTGAAAATTCTTTGCTACTTCTCCCATTGAGACCTGGGGTTTAATTCTCCACCCCTTGACTCTAGGCTGGTCTTGGTGACTTGCTTGACCAACAGAATACAGTGCTAGGTTATACATTCTGAGGTTGAGGCATAAGAAGCTTTGCAGCTTCCACCTGGGAGCTGCCATAAAAGAAGGCTGACCACTTTGCTGGAACAACCCCAATGACAGGCCCTGAGACCACTTGTGAAATATCATCTAGCAGTCGACATGAAGACATCAAGCGTCACTCACATTCTAAGCCTGATAGGAGTGAAGTGTTTCTAGACCTCTGAAACATCCTAGAGACCCAGTCAACACCACAGTGAAGCAGGAATTTTAGGGGTAAAATGGGACAGGTTTAGGAAATTTTAGAAATTTTGCAAATTAAGGGGACCAGGAAGGAAGCACAGGGCTGCAGAGCAGCAGAAGGTATATTTCCATAGAATAGGGAAGCTGAAAAGCTGCAACAGGTACATTTCCATAGAATGAGGGAGCTGGTAGCAGCAAAAGTTCTATATTTACAAAATAAAGAGAAGGAAGCCCTTCATCCAGAAGGAGAAGAAAGTCCAGAGGGAATAGGAAAACAATAAGGAAGGAAGAGGGGGGGAGAACCTCACATGTCCCATATGAGGTTTGACCTTTGAGCCCAGGAATTGCTATAGGAACCAGTCTAAGGGAATAGTGACCAATCAGAGGGGATATCAAGGCACCAGGATCTGCAGCTTTTATAAGCCATAGGGAACAGGAACTCAGTGGGGCCCTTTCCCTCTCCCCACATGGGAGTCTATTCTGTGGGACTCTTTCCCTCTCCCCACGTGGGAGTCTGTACTTGTTCTTCAATAAATCTCCACCTTTGCTA